AATATTTCATGCATCCGCAGTCACCAGATCTCAGTTCTATGGAGCACCTTCGGGATGTGGTGCATTGGGAGATTCACATCATGGATGTGCAGCCAATAAATCTGCAGCAACTGTGTGATGCTGTCATGTCAGAACAAACCAAAATTCTACATTAAAAAAAAAAAGATGTATTTATTCTGTCATGTGTCAATTTTGAGTCATCCCCTTCCTATTCACTCTCAGCATTGCATGAGAGATCCCTAAACATTACCATTACTACAATTCTTTTGGAACGCTTCATTTATAAAATAAACCTACCGATGCTTTCAGCGCCTCCCCAGTCAGCGGCCAGATGTGACCCTGCTGCATCATGTCCTCTCCCCCATCTTAAAGAGTCTTGTCTGTTTCCAAGTTTGGAGAAGCTGATCAGGTAATGAATGATGCCATGAAGAGCTGACGTGATCTGCAGAGTGTGACGGAGAGCCTCATCACATGCCTAATAAAGTCAGACCAGAAGAGAGTTAAATAAAGTCCAGAGAAAGAAAGTGTTAACATGCGTCTCTCCTCCACCAACACGGAAACAAGAACAAAAACAGAGCTGCTCTAAAATTAGTTCATGGCATGAGAAACTGAAAGCTAAAGTTATCACCCTTTGACCTGCTGTAATATTAGTCTCAGTGACAAGTTTAAGTGTCTCACCGAAACATTAAGTGTTTTGAACATGCGAAGCACTTCAGTGAAGTGGGGGATGTACCAGAGGTTGAGGAGAGTTCTTCCATCTGCACACAACAACTGCTCAAAAATCCTGTTTGGGAGAAAGTTTGGTTTGAAAAGCTTCCCCGGATACAACTGAAGAAACACATCTGTACCAAAATGCACAAACTTGGCATTTTGGCTCAAATTCTTTAAACAAGTTTCACCGTACTATAACCAGGACACAAATAAAACGTGGATAATCACTCTTTAATGCTTAGAGGTTGTACCTGGGGTCAGAACAACGATCAGCAACCGGCTGTCCAATCATGAAGTAGGACTGACGAATGTAGGGAACGTCTTCCAAGAGAAAGGTCAGATTGTGGTAATATCCAACAATCTGAGCTCTCACACAGTGCATGGACATTTGTGTGCTGAATCTGAGAAAAAACATTTAGAAGAACCTTACTATCATAGAAAAAAACTCAGTAAAGCTCAGGCATGTTGTCTGTTTTAACAAAAAAGGATGCCCGAGAACATACTTCCTGAGAAAGTCGATTATGAGCTCCCTTTTGATCTTTGCAGCCTCCTCCTGCACAGTGAGACAAATTAATTTTGCTTCATGAGCAGCCAATCACATTTATCATCCTGCTCTGCCACCTGCGTGCATCTCACCGGGGTTTTTAGAAACCCCCCCACGGCCTGTTTCTTCTTCACAAATGAATTCAGCATCTCGTCACGCAGACCCACTTTTTCCAGCTGGATGGACACAAATGCGCCCATCGCCCTGGAGGAACAAATGAGATTTTATATCATAAAGAGCAAAAAAAAAAGTGTTAAGTGTTAATCACTACTGGTGTAGTTTGTCCTGTAAGTCAATACCGCTTTTCTATGGAAGTTCTCCTGGAGGGTTTGGAGGGAAAAGATTTATATTGTTCCTGCAGGCCGCCTGTGTGGCTGCCAGAGCCGGAGTTACATGTTACATCTTTGTCTTCCCTCTGAGATTAATAAAGATAAGAAAAATATTTCAACAGCTGTGTGTTTATATAAAAGCATAAAAAAAATAACACCACAGTATTCAGACTCTTTTGTTCAGTACAAAGAGTCATAAATACATGCTATTACCAATAAATCAGCGTGCAAACACTATTATTCTCAGATGTTGGACCTAACTAACCCTTAGGCAGTATTCATATTATTGTTACTCAGCCTGTGTTTTCCAGTCCAATGGATTGTGCCGTTTTCAAATCAACAACCATAAAAATGTATGCAAAAAACAAAACTAAATAGATGTTTATTTTATCCCAATTCCATCCACATATAGAGCACACATACAGTTAATATTTCACACACATTGAGGCTTTTCTTTTTATTGCCTCTGGATCTAGAACATAATTTTGACCAGGGAACGTCTGATCAGGATGATTTTATTTGATGTCCTGCACAACAATGCCCACTCAGTCCTATCATGTATTTGAAGTCCAGTGTGAAGTCATTGAGACTGTGTTATTTTGACAGGTTCTTCACAGTAAAAGGCAAATATTCTAAGTTGTAATTACTTTTCACCAGAGAGCAACACAAACCTCAGCTGAAGATGAATCACTTTCTGCCCAAAGACAAAGTCGAGCCAGTTTGACCGCACTCATCAAGGCGTTCTTCTGTGTAACCTGACAGGCCAACGCCACCTGGAGGTTCTCGATACTCTGTCTGTTCATAAGCTAGGAAAAGCAACACATGAAAGTATTTGTGTGTATGAATTTATTTTCTGATAAGCCTTAATGTTTACTTTAATCTTACATGGATAACTGCTTCCTCTGAGCTGAAGCTAAACCTCCCGATCTGGTTCTCGTCCAGTTCCTGGATGCTCAGAGGCAGATGGGATGGGATGAGCCTGCAGCAGAAAGTCCTCTTTAATTTTCTTTCAAACACAGTTTACTGCTTTTGTAAAGAAGCTGAAATAATAGACATTGCTAGATTGCTTAAGAGATGTCCTAACATCTTTTTGACAGCTTCTCTCAAACATGTCTGGTTTTTAATATACAGCAGACTTTTTAGTTAAAGAGAACAAAATTCCAGGTTTCAGTTATTATGAAAATGAAGATTTATTTGGAAAATCAGATGTAGTTATGTTTTACCTGTCCACACAGCTGTCATCCTCCAGGATTTCTGTGATACAAAAAGGCCTGTGCTGGACTCCGACTTTCTGATCAGTACACTCAAACTGCAGCGGCCTCAGATACAGGTGGAACTCCTCAAAGCCGAGCTCTAAGGCCACATTTCTGTACAGCCTGAGAAAAAATGTTACGTTACATTACTTATTTAATTCAAACTGGTTAATCCTGGCTGCACAGAAATGTTAACATGTCAGCAAAGAGACAGTATAACCTAACAACAGCTGTAGTTTAATAGAAACTGGATTCTTCTTATCCTGGGAGGGTTTAAAGTTTTAAACAACTTTAAAGTTGTTCCAGAAACTTTTTTTTGCTAAAAATAATAATAATAATAAAAGTGCAGTGGTTGAAGACAAATGCCAGTGACAGGATAGCATCAAGAGTGAAAGGGAAAATTTACAAAATTTACATGTGATGTATAGTTTGAGGATGTTGGCACTGACAAAAAAGACAGCAGGCAGAGCTGAAAATGTCAAGATTTCCATTGGGAGAGACCAGCATGGACAAGAATAAACATGACTACATCAGAGGGACAGGACAGGTTTGGAGAAAGAGTTAAAAAACAAAAGGACGAGATGGTTTGGACATGTGCAGAATTGGTATAGTGGATATATTGGATAAAAGGTGTTGAACTTGGAGCTGCCAGACAAAAAGAGGAAGACCAGAGAAAAGTCGTGGATGTAGTGAAGGAGGTGCGACAGAGAAGAGAAGTGGAAAGTTGTTTGTGTTATCATGCTGTATAAAACTTAAATGTGTTAGGTTGCACCTGGATATGTTTGGGTGTAAATATAATAACTCTTTGAAGTAACCTTTGAAGCTCATTTCTGAACTGAGCGGTTTGTTATATGTCAGGTATGTTTATAGAACAAAACGACTGGGTTTTCATCAGAACTTGATGAAAAACCTGCAAACTGTTTAATATTTACCAAACCACCTCTTTATTGATGCATAGTGAGGTGTCAAAACTTGTTACTAAGGGTACAAAGGACTTTGTCAAATGCCATCTTCATGGGGAAAAAGGAGTTAAATAAAAGGTCCAGAACCTATTGTAAATACCCCTGCCCCTCTGCTGTGAGTGTTTCCTTAACTGTGCCAGATGTGCCGTCTCTGAGGCAGATTCCAGCAGGCGATGGCGGATGCTCATAAGCTCCAGCAGCATGGACAATGTTTCTACAGCACAGGGGTGCTTGTCTGGTCCTTGCTTCATGTTCCTCTCGTCTGCAGCTTTTACTAGTGACAGGCCCAACTTCTGGACCAAAATTGGATCCTCGATAAACACGTCTGAGAACAACTGAGAGCAACAGACAAACTGGGATTTAGTGAAATGGCTTATTTTTTTGTACACAGTAATCTGAACATACTCTGAACAAGAATGTACATCTCTTTGTATTTGTGAGCTGTAGGAGGCTCCTGGTGAAGTCTGGTTGTTCCAGATTTTCAGTGCCTGCTCTAAGAGGTTGTGTTCGAGGTGGAGTTTGTCAGTGATGCTCGTGGCTCGGTGCAACTGACATAGTTCAGTGTGAGCCTGAACCAATCCGTGATAGACTGCAGAGGCCAGACAGAGTGATGGGTGAACTTCTAGCAGGAATACGTTCATCAGAGCAGGCCTGCAAAACAAAACAAAACAAAAGGACGCAAGGAGGGAAAAACATGAGCATTAAAAGAAGAAAATAATCATGTTTTATAGTAAAAAGTTCCTCCACAGCTGTTTTAACTTGCCTCGCGCCTCCAAGTGAGACCAAATATTGGGGAACATAGTTGGGTGGATGACCATAGCTGGTTATAAAGCCTTTGTGATCATTTCTCCAGATGCGCTGAAGGTACAGTCGCTGTCTCTCTATCTGTCAAGAGGAACAACATAACCACAACATATGGTGTGTCTCATGTACAGACCACAGTTATTGCACAGTTTCACATGTAAATACAATCCAATGCATCATTTAGTGTTTACTTGATTGTCCAGGATGTCTCGGATCAGCCGCTGGTGGCTCTGCATGCAGCTGATCTCAGTCCTGTAGGCCTGAAAATAGTTATCCTGGTTCAGGTCCAGCTGTGGCTTCCTGTGCATGATGTCAGTGATAACTTGGGCCAATGCAAACCTCTCCTCTGTGCCCACTGCATGCTGGTAGGCTTCATAGTAACAGTTTAAAAGCTGCAGAAACACAGAAGTGCACAGCGCACGCAGCAGTTCAGTTTAACATTCAATAAAATCCATTTACAGTATCTCAGTCGTAGTTCTATAAAGTTCAATGCTAACAGGAAATGACTGAGCCAAAAGAAATCAAATCCTCTTTTCCATCAATCTACCTGGACTTTGCTTTCCATGAACTCAGTCTCACATGTCCACAAATTGAGAAGCACAGCAACGCGGTCAACATCTGTCCCAGCCCAGGAGTTGAAATCTACTGTCGAGGCTGACACTCCCTCAGTTTTTCCAATTTGTTTGATCGTGTTTCTGTGGATGAAGTGCGAGCCGATGAGGAGAAGCTCATTCATCAGCTCCACAAGGTCCTGCAGAGCAGCGTCGTACATGATGTAAAACCCTCTGGGGTCCTGAGTGTGGATGTAACGGCCCTCAGAGGTGTAAAAATCGTGAAGATTCTCCACCTCTGCAAACTCCATGAACTCTGAGCAGTGGACCTAGACAGTTGTAAGAAGCAATGTCTGGATTCTCAGTTAAACCATTTTTTAAATTCACTTGAAGTAAGAGGAGATATGTTTTTACCTTGTAGTCGACAGGAGTGCTGTGAATATACTGGTTAGAGCCGAGACCTTCTGCCTCTCCTTTTCCTCCTCTGGCTACATTCATCCAACCCGTCTCCTCCGCTGTGCTGCACAGCACCTGTCCTTCTAGCTGCAAACCTGCCAGGTCAAAGGTCAAAGTCCTTTCCACAGAGCGCAGGTAGTTCAGCATCCCAAGTGACACACGCTGCAGATGGTAAAAATTAAAACAACATTCGAGAGCTCGCATACTATAGCAACAGACAGATATACTTAATATATTTTCTTTCTTTCTTTTTTAATCAACAAGAAAACGATCGTCAGCAAAAAAAACAGTTTAAAGACGAGAGAAAGAACAATTCAGTCTCCACAACTGCACCAAAGAATAAAACAGTGAAGTGTGGATTATTAAACTTCAGGTCTCTCTCTCCCATTTTATTAAAAGAATAAAAAATTGATCAACAAATTATTTACTCTGCTTTACAGAAACCTGTTTACAGCAGGATGATTATGTTAGTTTAAATAAATGGCAGCAATCTTCCACTCCAGTCGTTAATTAACCAAAGAGCCTGTTTTTAATCTGATTTAGTGCTCAGCTCAGATAAAATAATTATCGTGGGTGATTTTAACATCAGTGTAGATACTGACAGCCTCAACAAGGCATGTAATTAATCATTAGACTCGATTGACTTCTTTCAAAATGTAAAAGAACCCACCCACCACCTTATTCACATTCTAGATCTTGTTCTCACATATGGCACAGAAACTGAACATTTCCACACAACTTTACATTTACAATGGTGGATTACACAGTGGTGGGGAATAGATTTCATCTCAGTAGATGTCTTTCTAAAAGTGCTGTAACTAAGTTTAAGGATGTAATTCATCTACTGTTCTCTTCTTCTATGCCTGGTGCCAACAGAGCAGAGCAGCTACCTGAACGCTACTCCCATAGAGGTTGATTATCTTGTTAATAATTTCACTTCTTCACTGCGAACACCTCTGGATACTGTAGCTCTTCTGAAAAAGAAAGACTCAAACCAGAAGTACTTGACTCCCTGATATAACTCTCAGACGCAGACCTAAAGCAGACAACCCAGTAAGGACCAGGGGAAATGGTAAATGGACTGGTTCTTATATAGCACTTTTCTACTCTGAGCACTAAAACCACTTTTTAAAAAAACCTCATTCACCCTCATTCGGTCAAGCGCTTTTTTCTACTCCTTAAGTGCTTTCTATTTAACATTCATGCGCATTCATACTCCGATGGATGCATTGGAAAGCAACTTGAGGTCAGTATCTTGCCCAAGGATATTTGGCATGCAGATTGGAGCAGATAGGGATTGAAGCACCAGTCTTCTGATTAGTAGGTGATCTGCTCTACCACCTGTAGCATTCCTTTAAGCAAAAGTTAACTAGTAAGAACTTCATGAATTTCTTCACAAATAAAATTTTAAACATTAGAGAAAAAGTTACTCGTAACCATCTCACAGAGACGTAACATTATGTACTTCATACATCACTGACTTCAGTTATCACTGCCTCCAAAGCATCAACATGGCTTTTAGACCCCATTCAAGACTGCTCAGAGAAGTCCCACCATTAATTAATGTTTCAGTCTTAAATATGGTCAACCTATCTCTAATAATCGGCTATGTACCACTGGCCTTCAAGCTGGCAGGAGGTAATTTTAAAAAACGCTTTAGTGAAGGTTACAAATGATCTTCTAATTGCCTTAGAAGTGGACTCGTCTCTGTGCTTTTCCTGCTAGACCTCAGTGCAGCGTTTGATCCTGTCGACCCTAAAACTTTATTACAGCAATTAGAGCATGCAGTAGCAATTATACCGTGCTGCAGTGGTTTGAATCGTACCTAATAGACTCCAGTTTGTTCATCTAAATGGAGAGTCCTCTTCACACACTAAGGTTAATTATGGAGTTCCACAGGGTTCAGTGCTAGGACCAATTCTGTTTAGATAAAACTGAGGTTATTGCACTTGGCCCCAAAAATCTTGGACTCATTCTTGACCAGGATATGCCATTCAATGTGCATATTAAAGAAATATGTAGGACTGAGTTCTTCCAATTGTGCAATATCTCTAAAATTAGAAACACCCTGTGTTAGAGTGATGCCAAAGAACCAGGTCATAGGCATTACTTAGTATTACTTCTAGGCTGGACTACTGTAATTCATTATTATCAACCTTCAGTTGATCCGAAGTACTGACAGGGACTAGAAAGAAAGCGTATTTCTCCCACATTGGCTTCCCTTCGTTGGCTCCCTGTTACATCCTGAATTGAATTTAAAATCCAGCTCTTCACATATAAAGTATTGAATAATCAGCCCCCATCTTATTTCAATGACTTTAAAGTACCATATCACCCCATTAGAGCTTTTCACCCTCAGAATGCAGGCTTACTTGTGGTTCCTAGAGTATTTAAAAGTAGAAAGGGAGGCAGAGCCTTCAGCTTTCAGGCCCCTCTTCTGTGAAAGAAGCTTCCAGTTTGAATTTGGGAGAAAGACACCCTTCTCTACTTTTAAGATTAGGCTTAAAACTTTCCTTTTTGATAAGGTATATAGTTGGGGCTGGATCAGGTGACCCTGAATCCTCCCTTAGTTACACTGCAATAGTTGTAGGCTGCTGGGGAATTCCCATGATGCATTTGTCGTGTCTTTTTCAGTCACCTTTTTCACTCACTATGTGTTAAAAGACCTCCCTGCATTTAATTGCATTTCTCTTGCTCCTCTCACCCCAATGCCAATGAAATGTATCTATTATACTGCATACATCAACATGCACTTACATACCTGCCACATAAATACTAGTAGAACTACTACTGTACCTGGAGCTCTCTGAGTTTCAAGTGGCGCAGAAAGATGAGGGACAGGTAAGCTCCTCTGGTTACTACTGGACCTGAGAGGCCTTCAGGTAAACTGTCATCCAGGCCCAGGACCTGCAGGTTGTCCTCCAAAGACTGACTGTGCCACGATAATATGAGTGAGTGGGAAAAGAGCTGATGTTTTCCTTAGTCTTAAAAGGCTTTCAGCCTCACAAGTGACCAAAGTAATGTGATGAATAAATTCTGCAAAGCAATTTTTCTTTGAATAAACACACCTTTCATGGTAAAAGCTTGAAGTCTGACTCTTTGAAATCTCTTTGTTGCTGCCTCTGCTCCCTCTGGATGCGGATGAGTGACTGTGGGTTTCCTATTAACATAAATGTCAGTGTTATTGCACTGACTGAATTTTTACATCTCCCCAAGTCAAAAACTAGACGACACACACCTGAATGAGATTGGCAGCGTTGTAAACACTTTTCCAAATCTCAGAGATCATTTGTTTTTTTGTCTTGCGGCTGCTTGAGATGAACGATGTGGATTGTGAGTCGCCAACTTGAGCAGCATGTTCTTTGAGAGCTGCAGCCACGTGGAGCAAATTGCGGACCTGCTCAGATACACAGTGAGGACAGCATAACAAAACGTGACAAAAATCATTAAAATAAAAACGCATTATATACGGTCAGGACACTTCATTAGGTACACGTTGTTAGTACTGGCTTTTCTTCAGAACTGTGTTCATTCTTTGTGGCACAGATTCAAGAAAGTTCTGGATACATTTCTCAGAGATTTTAAGTGATCCGCTGTTACTAACGAACCTAAAGTGTGCCAAAAAATATCCCAGAAATCATTCCGGTACCAGCACCAGTCTGAGCTGCTGGTTCAAGGCAGGATGGATCCATGCTTTTCTGCTTGTCTCGACTATGTCCACATTCCTAAATACTCCGAGGTCATTGGCTCATATGACATTGCAGCTGAAAAGGTGTACCTAATAAAGTGGCATTAGTGTAATGCACTGTTAGCAAATTCTCACTTATGTTCTTTTCACCAGTTATCAGTCAGTTGTAACTATATATTTATTAATCATTTGCAATAATTTCACCCATTTTGAAGGATGCGTGACACTGATTCAGACCAGACTCGCTTTTTACCTGAAGAAACTTGCACTGCATCTGGAGCAGCTCATCAACTGAATTCTTTTCCTTGAGCTTTGTGAAGAGCTTCTGCTGCCACGGATCTCGCCTGGGTTTCACCTACAGAGTGGAAACCAAACAATCAGTTTCTAGTATCCTGCAAATGTCTGAAAGACTACAGAATCCATAACACAACAAGTGCTTACAGGAAAAAAAAATGCAAATGTTTTGCCAGATACTGATTAACTCTAAAGCACCGAGCATCACACAGGAAGCAGTATTTGAAGAGATTATTTTACTATTTTATTTGTTTCCCTCAAACCTGGATGAAAGGAACCCAGTTAGCCTCCTTGCACACAGCCATGTTTGCACTCTTCCTCCCCCACTGACTCTCTCTGACGTCCATACAGTCGTAAGGAGGAAACGTTTTCATCTGCTCTTGTTGTCGGAAGATTGTTTTAAACTCCCTCCACACCTGGACAGACAGCAGCTGAGATTCAGACCAATAATTTAAATGCATTTTAAATTTCACCACCTATTTTTGAGGACAAATATACCATGCTGAATAGCTCCATCTCATCTGCAGTGGTTTTCAGATTTCCTGTGTCATACGGCAGGCGGAAGTAGGCGAGCAGGGACTCCAGCTCGGGCATGAACTGCTCCAGGTGAACTGTGTGGAGTGGTAGTCCTGAAATACAGTTAAATGTAAACTTTATTTATTTTTTTTCAAAAGATTACAAAAAAACATGTATGAAGGGAAAAGCTCACCATCAGCCTGTTGTCTTTCATGCAAAATTTCTCCACAATCCTTTCCTGGTGCTTCATCTTTTCTTTCACACATAGGTACATAGTGTAGCACCTGTTAAAGCAAATTTTAATGTGAAATAAAGCACCACAGGCATCAGATAGGATGAACAGTGATAAAATCTGTCTGTGGCTTTTTACCCTGAGAAAGTGGTGGATGGGCTGAACAGAGTGCAGGTGGCAGACAAGCCACTGCAGATAAATGACGACATCGTCCTGAGTGAGCAGGCTGACAAGGTTTCCTTGGCCGGTCAGCATCTTCTCTCTGCTTGCTGACAGTCTGCGAGCTCTCTGAACAGCATCCTGATACTCATGGGTCATGTAGGACACCTGATCCTGAGACAAAACAAGTCTGATACGATGATGCATTTTTCAGTGTGACATCTGTACGATTCTTCTCGTTCTTTAGAAATAAAAGATTCAGCATTCTCCAGCTGTTTACACGAGGAGAACATTTTCCAGTGACATTCAAAATAGTGTACAAGGAACCGTATGCTTCCTGAACTGACTGCATTCTGAATAATTATTAAATCACAGAGATGCTGTATAAAATCTAAATAACTGGATCCCAAGTATTTGTTATCATTTAAAGCTCGTATATAAGAGAAAGTAGCACAAAGATGGAAAACATGACTGCAGACAGGATAATTTAGCCCTCTGTCTCTTTTACTATGCTGCTGTGAAACTCTGCAGCGTGATTTGTGATCTAAGATGACGTAAACGAGAGCTGCCCTGAAAAAGAAATCCAAAAACCTGTAGTTACTCACACCTGTTCAACTGCTCATTAATGCATATCCAACCAGCCATTGTCAAGAAGACCTGCTGAAGTTCAAACGGCACTTCCGAATGAAGAAGAAAGGTCATTTGGAATTTGAATTTGGCATGAATGTTGCCATTTCAGAAACTTCTGATCTACTGGGGTTTCCCTACACATGACCACCTCTAGGATTTACAGAGAATGGTCCAAAAAAAGAAACAAAATATCCACAGATATCCAAGTCGTACTGATAGGAAGGCAACAGTAACAGAACTTGTACTAGCAAGCTAATGCTAATTGTGTCCAGTGAGTATTTACACCTTTCAGAATTAATGGTACCTTAATTGTGTACTAGTTAAACATGTTTTTAAGTCACATTCACACTCATGTAGAGCATCCTGTGTTTTTTGGAAAATGTATTCTGTGATATTTGCCATATTTTTAAACTCAGATTAAAGGTAGATACAGCATAAAATGCAGAAAATAACCACAAACCAGTACAAAAGTACAGTGAAAAGATGTACTTTTTTATTTTTAGTATTGCTAAAACACTGCTAGGTCATGCTGTTCGTTTACACATGGCAACCTTATAATGGGGATAAAGCTTCTCAATAACGCTGGCATGGCGGCAAAATCTCCTCCATCTCAGCATAAGCAGATATCTGATCTGAGCCAAGTGATAAGATCTGTCTGTGAAGAACTGCGGGAAAAAATACAAAAAGGAAACTGGTGTAAGTTTAAAAACTTTTCAAAAAAAAATAAATTCAAAAATAATCTGTTTCTGCTTCTTGTTTCAGGCATAAATTTTCTGTTTATGTCCTGACCTGGTGCAGCAGAAGAGGCAGACTGTCAGGAGTGTACTCCAAACTCAAGCAGCTCTCCAGCTCTCGCTGCACGATATCAGCCTGAGACCGAGTCGGCAAAATGTCAGCCACCTGAAACCAGCAGAAAACAGAAACTACACCTAAAACAAAAATTAACCCTAAAAATAATGCCTTCACTTAAAATTGGATATAAATCAAAGATTTAAAAGTCTAACAATGCAAGACTAATAATGAACTTTCTGTAGAAAGCATCACCTGAAGCCCTCTCCTCAGTGCATGCTCCCTCTCCACACGAAAGAAGGAAATATCTTTTGGAGGTAGTACAGAACTGGAACAAAAACTTTTACAAACATCATGGGTTTAAAATGTAAATGCCCACAAATCAGTCACAGCTCAGATCTGTCACATTTTACCTAAAGTGACTATTCTGCTACACTACTTAGGCTGCTTAAAAAAAACAAAAAAAAAGAAATGGATAAATATACAGAGAACATAACACTAGAAAAAAGTTCAGCTGCCTGTTAATGTGAATTTCTTATCACTACTGATAATACTTTGTGTGTTGCATACTTTACAAGCCTTATATGCATCTTAAACTTGGATTTAAGGTGGAAAACCGAAAGGTGTCCTGCTTCAGAACAGAAATCTGAAATGATGTGCAGGGTTATTTGAGCACATAAGTACATCGGTCAGCATTGTGAAGGGCAAACGTTCATGTTAAACAACCGGCCATATTTTGAGTTGAGGATAGCTTTCGGGTCTACCCTTTTGGCAATCTGAGCTTAAATAATACATGACAAACCTGTAGGCATTAGAAGATCCTGCTCCTCTATTCTCTTCAATCTCTGCTTTGAGTGCAGAGAGGTGACTACACAGCTCTGCCTCCATCTGCTTCACCTTCACAGAGGAGGAAACTTTGTACACTGCACACATGTCTGACATCTTCAATGATCAACACATTCAAATGACAAAAATAACTCCTTTAGTCCTGCTAAATCTCTGCCTCAACGCTGACTTGTTGTGGTGTGTCCATGGAGACCAACATCCATGGGCATGGGCAGCTGGACTCAGTGACTCCATTCAGGCTCTAGAGGGCTCCATCGTTTCACTGCAGTCGACCAGTCTTTGGGCTGTCATGTCAGTAATGTCAGACTCTCCAGTCACAATTTAATTTGTTTTGTGCGCTAGTTTGTAATAAAAAAAAAACAAAACAAAACAAACAAACAAAAAAACCTCTCAAATACAAGTCATGGCCTCACTGTACTATTACATCTTTGAGGAGCACCTGAATTCACCAATTACAGCTCTTTGCCTTCAAAAACCCTGATTTAGGCCCAAATGGTCTATTCCTCTTGGATACAGTGTGTGATTGGTTCTTCAATATATGATTATCCAATAGCAAATCACCTCCACAGCTGTGGAATTCCTCTAGGGACAGATTTAAAAACAAAAGACAACACCTCCAGCTTTTCAGTAGTTCTTTATGCTTTATTTACATGCACCAGCTCTGATAAAACCAAGTGTTTGCTTTACAAGTGGAAATGTCAATTTGTTTTTGTAGGAGCAATAGGAAGGTATGAAATGTGGAGACTGGCAGTGAAATTTAAACCTTAACACAGACTGTAAAAATCAGTCAACTTTTAAAAAAAAAAAAAAAGTGGAAGCACAGCTGTGCAGAAATGTGTTAAAAGGTTAAACCAATGAGAATTATTTAATCTGGTTAACTCACTGTTAAACATTTCTCAAAAGGACCCTTTCATTTGTTGTGCAAGTGATCACCCAGTGAATAGAGCAATGAAAACATGATTTTACACAACCCTAACCAAATGTGCATCGAGGAACAATGGCAACAAGTATCGCAATAAATAAACCAAATGTGTTTTTACAATGATGCAACATGAGACAAATTTACTAAAACACTCCTGATAATTAAAAAAAAATTAAAAATGTAAACAATTTTAAAACGCATCCTGCTGTTCCTACAAAATTGTGCTGATGTAGATTTTGTTTTGCCCTTTGCCCACACACTTCTGATTAGCTATGCACTGTGTAGCCTCTTTCCACTTATTTAAATGCAGATAAACTTTGGCAATATTTAAGATACTGTGGTCATTTCTTTCATTACAAAGGAAAAAAAAAACAACTCCAAGATACTACACACCCTCCCAGTGTTGAAAACATGTCACCCAGCACCTGCTATAGTGCTGATAACAAAGGAGAGGCTACTGACGGCGCTTCATCGGCAGCCACTCCCTGCTATCTTTAGATTTAGAGCACCAAGAACTCCATCAAATCAACGCCAAAACTGATGTAGTTGTCGAGCGCTGCGAGTCACTGAATGTGGTTATTTCAACCCAAGTAGTCCCAAGTGTTTGACAACTAAAAAGTGGTAACTAGAACTAAATCGTGTCCTTAACTCAGTCCTAAGGTCTGTATACAGAGCAGTACTTCCAATATTGCAGTGAGTGGAAGAGGAGGGACCTAAAAAGGGATCTGCAGCAGAAACATCATCAATACTTCAGTAATGGACCTCTTCAGAGGGAACAGAATTCACAGTAATGTCACTTAAAAATCACAGGGTAAAATTTGCTACAAAAAATAAAAATTGAAAAAACACTGCATACAAAAAACACATCATGTAGAGCAGTTCACATCTTGATAACATTACATACTGATATTTGGTGTGAATTGGTGCATCAATGGGAGGGAAAGCTTTTAAAAAACTGTTTGTCCATTTAGGCTACGTCTCAAAGAAATCTTTAAAAAAAAAAAAAGAAAAAAAAAAGCAGCTTGTCAAGTATCCTCCACTGGAACGTAGTAATGTAACATTCTCTGCAGTTTTTTGTAAACAGGCCATCAGTCAAGCTGACAGCTGGTTTGGCAAAAAATGTTTTGGGTATGAAAGGGTGTGAAAGAGGAGAGAAAGCAGGATGAAAACACTTCATTTTCAGTTTTATGTATTACTTTGTGATATGAGTGAATCCCTGAGACTAATACGAGTTGATCCATGTAGTTTTAACTGAAGGTACTGTAGTTTCATTCCACTCAGTACCGTTTGTTCATACTGGCCAGGCATTGATCTTTTAAAACAATTATTTTTCTCTTCACTGTGAAGACACCGTTGTTTTGTCTCAGACACCTACAATACAGTACTGAAGTTAATGCCGCAAATGAAAAATAGGAAGAAAGTCTACTGAAACGCTTACATACCTTCCTTCCCTCTAGTTGCACAACGCAGGACAATTAACCCAAATTTACACCTTCCTTACTTCGGACAGCTCCTCAGCTCGGCACCCAGCTCTGAGGGCTCTGTTTCGAGCTGGAGAAGCTTCCTGAATTCTTGTTGCCGTTCTGTGTGGAGGTGAGGCGAGAGTCAAAGCTGAGGTCCAGGCAATCTGCGTCCATCAGTTCATTGCGGATGATTGAGTCCATGTCGCAGTCCAGATTGCTGCTGAACACCTCAAGGTCCAGATCAGCGGAGAAACGGTCCTGACTGGTTAAACTGGAACTGAGCTGCATAGAGACGTTCTTACTAGGAGACTTCAGGTGTAGCTGCTTGGTTTCAGGGTGGCCGTCGTCACTGTCAGAGGTTGACAAGCCCGCTTGCCAACCAGGCACTGAAGAGCTTTGGGCCTGGCCTGCACTGGTGTGGTTAACCAGAATGTGGTCTTTGCGGAGCAGCATGGCATTTCGGCGGGAGTTCTGCAGAACGATGGCGGTGCTGGCCTGCGACATCAGAGGGTCGGACTGGGTCATCATGACATTGCTGGGGCTGTGGGAGTCCATCCCAAGCAGATCTAGGGCCTGGTGCTCACTGTAGTGAGACATGCAGGAGAAAGTAGTCTGCTTGTTCTCTTGGATGGTCTGCATGGGTGACTGTCGCAGGCTCGTGATGGACGGAGGGCTGAAGAGTGGGTTCGTCCCATAGCTGCTGGAGGGACTACCTAAACTGCTTCCTGAGCAGCTGAAGGTAAATACTGAACTCCCCTGACTGTTGGCCCCATCTTCCTCTCCAGGAGGAGGCTGCTGGGATGCTGTGAGGCTGATATTGTCTAAAAGATCATCCATCAGGTTGTCAGAGAGCCCATCATTGAGGTTCATAGTGCCTGCCAGATCAGACAGTCCTGTTGGTCCAGTGGACGGAGACATGCTGCTGGGGCTGGAGTACAGCATTGGCGACAGGGGTGAGTCGTCATCAGGTACCTCATCCAGCTCCAGGTTAGCCAGGATTGGGGACAGACGACCGCTGAGCGTGCTGGCGTTGGAATTGGTCCGAGAGCGGAAGTCTGTCCAGGCATCGAGCTCGTCGCTGCTGCGGGAGGTGGGACTTCCTGTCCATTTGGATAGGCTCGAGGAGCTCTCAGAGCTCCCATCTTGAGCAGCCTGCAATGAGGCTTTTTTCTTTGTGGCACGTCCTCGGGCTCCTTTGATGTACTTGCTGTTGTCCATCGACACAGCCCTACGTCTGGGAGCTTTACCTCCTTTCCCACCTTCCGGGTTGACCATCCACCAGGAGCTTTTCCCAGTTCCTTCATTCTGGACTTTCACAAAACGGCTATGGAGGGAAAGATTGTGTCGGATGGAATTCTGCAACAAAGACAAAGGATTAAGAAAACGTAAGTATTAATATAACTTTCCCAGTATGAACAATAATTCATAAAACAAATGTTGTGTACATGATACGATTAAGTATTAAATACTTTTAGGAGCTTCAAAAGCTTTAATGAGATGTGACCTACAAAGTGGACCAAGTCAGAATGTGTGTTCCTGCTGCATCTGTTAGTGTTGTTCTCAAACTTAACTCAAGCTTAAAACTACAAAAGATTACAACATGTATTACAGTAATTGCCAAGCTCTATAACGGCCCAACAAAGGAGCAATGAGCCAGATAATATAAATCACTACAACAGAATATAAAACTCTGTTGTAAGCAGACAGTGCTGTATTCTGTGTCCCCTACAAAACTTCTTAAGGTTTTGTTGTTCATCTACAGTACTACGTTTTCAGCATGGTGTGCAGTGTTCCTAAAATTTGAGAAAACTGGACAAATTGATGACAAAATAAAAAAAACAATAATAAAACCACAGGACTGAAATTATCTGAATTTTGTGTTCTAAATAGAGACAAATAGAGATGCTGCTGACTTTTCAGACAATTACAAAAGACTAAAAGTCAGTGGCAAAAGGTATTATGGAGCTTGAAAGTTATGGTTCAAGTTGCTGTCAATATGTACAGTCGAGTGGTACAAGAGTGACTGTCTATAGCCATCTAGAAAACATGGTGGGGGCTCTGTCATGTTCTGGGCTTCGTTTTAGCTAGAGTTTTTGAAATCTTGCCAAATTGATGGAATCATGAATGCAAACAAGTACAGTTTGACATCACCGTGCAATACAATCTGGAAGGTGCGATTAGCAGTAGTGTTTTTGGGACAATCCCAGTGCCCAGACCTCGACATTACTGAGGCTGTGTGGGATCATCTTGACAGATAACTGAACAAAAAGGCAGCAAACATCCAAAGAACTTCAGTCTCCTTCAAGAAGCCTGGAGACCCATTCCCAAAGACTACTGAAATTCCCAGCAAGCTTGCCTAAGCTCAGGTTGTGTTAAAGAACAAAAAGGTGGTCATCCCAAATATTGACTTTCAAGCTCAGTGGAAATTTATGAACTTCATATGCTTTTTTGCCATATGTTCTGCATTTTCCATTTTCCTAGCAAATTAAAGAAATTAGTGACTCAAGGATATTGCACAGGGTTAACTGTAATTTACCCCTTTAAGGCCAAGTGTATCAAAGATGATACTTCTATATCAGTTTAAATATTCTGCAAAAAATATAGAAAGGAAAACAAAAGCCTGATGTAGCTAATATGATACAAATTTAAATTTGTATGCAAATTAATATTTATCGTTATTTCAAGATTCACTAAACAATCATTTAAAAAACAAAACAAAAC